CGCGCAAAAAACTTTTTAATATTATATTATTTTGTGTTATAAGTTTTATAACTCACCAAAGACACATATTGATGGAAAAAAACGTGTATAAATTATGAATATTTTTGTACGATAGTCCGAACTTTCGGTGATATTAATGTTTTCATCTTTTTAATCTCGAGGCGCCACACAATCAAGTCATCTTGATGTGGTCACGTGGCCGAATTGCCGCGCGTCGTGATGTTTACGAATTGTTTTCGTTTTATTTACGAATTGTATTCGATCGTGGTAGTCAATTTCGCTCTGCATGTTGTGTCTTTTTCATTCGTCTCTCGAGTGAGTTATTCGTACAATTCAGTACATTCATTCGGGAGTATCGAATCTAACAACGGGCGATCATTGCTTTGTATTAATTGTATTACGACTATAATTAATGCATTTATTGATGATTCAATCTCAAGGACTCGCGCAACCGAGCGAGCTCGGTGCGGGACGCGCGAAACACGTGAACTGAATTGCTGCGCTTTTCGCGTCGTCATGATGTTTATATACGAATGTGTAAAGGATCGCGTTCGCTCCGCGTTTTTGCGTTCTTTTTCATCTACATATCTTGACTGAGTCAGCGCGTACAATGTGAGCGTCGAGAATGCTGAATTTAACAACGAGCGATCACTGTGATGTGCTAATTGAGCTACGAGATCGTAGTTAATGCATTTATTAGTAATTGAATTTTAAGGCACCGCGCAGCCAAGCGATCTCGACTTCACGGGGCGTTGAAGTTAGGTGAGTGTACGTGACCGAACTGTTGCGTTTTTTGCGTCGTCATGATGTTTATTTTGCGAATGTCGATTGCATAGTCATTCACTTCATGTCTTCGCATCTTTTTCATTCATTTTGAGTGACTCACGTACAATCGAGTGGTAGGAGTATCGACTCTATTGGCGGTGATCATCCCGACGTATTAATTGGCTCGTACATGATTACCGCGATTACCGCGTCTCTCAGTTTCAGCGATTGGTGAATGTTCGAAGTTTCGAATGTTTCACATCGCGTTTTCGATTGCCGGTTCAATAGAATGATTCGTTGTCTCCTAACACGCGCACGTCATGTATTTCGTGGCATCCGATCGACGAGTGTTTTGTGTACTGTCCTGTGTAGTATTCCAACCTGGAAACATGAAGAGACATCGAGGGTCGGCTTATACATTGAGGAACATCGAGGGATGACTGTAAAGGGATTAATCGGAACAGGAGATTGCCGCGCCCGTCCAATCGGATGATGGTGAATTTATATGCGTCATTGGTTGTCGAACCTTCTTGCATCTTTTTGAATTTTGCGCACAATATAAAATTTGTCCAATATAGAAAAACGGGAATATTGTTCTGCATTGTTTTTGATCTCGAATTTTTCTAAAAGTGATGAAATTTTTCTAAAATTTCTTTAAATTGTCCGAATATTATTCCCGAATATTATTCGCATGAATAAAAATGAAGATCCAGACGCAATGGGCAATTTTCATGTTTGTTGCAAAATTTATATATAATAAGAACCTATTATCGTTATGTACGCTATTCCGTGAAACACGTGCTCGATAGCATAATATTAAATTATCGGAATGATCAATAAGAGCCGAGGGCTAAAAATTAAAAGTTTGGCGGAATATCATAATTGACAGGGTCGGTTGCAGTTTCGTGAGTCCTCGTACTCCGATCCAGGGATGGAGGGAAGGGGAAGGGGGAGAAGGGCATAGAAACGGCACGCAATAATCGGGGGTCGGGCTCTATCGCGTGGCTCGATCGTTTGGGGCTTGCTATCTGGAATCTCGATCGCTTCTGATCGAGCAATTATTCCGTGGCACTTCAATTTTCCACGATAAATTTTTACCGCGTAGCGATCACCGAGCCGGAGGACACGCCAAAGCGCGACGACACCAGAGAGGGTAGCAGGAAAAATTTGTCGGAAAAACGGATAGCCATTGTCTTCGATCTGACGAAAGGTAGAGACGAAATTGAGCCATCGATTATCGTCTGCGGGGTTTGCATAGAAATTGCGGAAAATGTAAAAAAGCGATTTTGCAATATTTCGCGATCAGGTATTGATTCATCCGAATAAATTAATGCTTCTCTCAATCCTCTTTCTACAATACGCATATTCTTTATATTCAAAGTATATTATCTCGTCTCGCAATTAGTATAAAGCCTGGGCACAAAATGTCCTCAAACTGTCTTGGTAATCGACGGCGGTTCCTGCCAGGCGAAAACCACGAAATCGCGACAGCGCAAATGCAAATGCGGATTAAATTAATGCAAATACGACGGTTATAGGTTGTCGTATATATAACTTAGAATACGTATATAACATAAGGGCTTTCTCTGGTTCTCGGACATCGTACACATGAGAATACATTTCGTAACTTCCGCGGTGCGTTCTCGGGAATTTACATAACGGCATTTTATGCGCGCCAGATATACCATGCGTGCAATAGTCAGACGTCAGACTCGTTCGACCGGAGTATCGCCGCAGACGCGCGCGTATAACACATCGGCCAACTTGAGGAGCCTCCAGGCAGATCGACGATGTGTGTAATCGAGCGACATTGGTTGTGCAGCATTCAGGAGGGCCGAGGAGTCGCGGGAAGGGCCGTTCCGCGTCGTATGCTTGCCGGGGAGTTTCGAGGTTGTGTTGAAGGGGATATATCATCGGGCCCGTGATACAATGTCCTTCATGCACGTTTCGTTGGATCGTACATCACCCGAATGCTGCTGGCATTCGCAACGCGTGGGCGGACCATTCGATAGAATTACGTAATACGACGTCTTTGGCCTAAAGCGTTCTCTGAGTGTGCCTCCTGTACCAGAGAGCGGTGGAACAAAGTTTCGGGATAGTCTACTTTTGACTGAGATCGCGTAGCCTTTAGGAGGATCCGTCCTTTTATCCCGGTCAGCTCTCCAATCTGTGTACGAGGAATCGATAGTCTAAAGTTTCGCGCTCGCCGATTTTTCCAATTACTCGTCAGGTTCCTTTATCAGGCGCCTAGAATAGTTTTTCAGTAGTTATACAATGATTTTCACGTCACGGGCAATTTAAGTAAAATATACAAGCTTCTGATGTAAAGAAAATTAACTTTCAATTTGATACAATCCTGGCCTCCCTGCATTATCCGACCGATCGAGAGGGAGATTCGATTCTGCCACGAATAATCGAAACAGTTGTCGAACGCATCGCATTTCAGCTTCAGATAATTCTCGAGCGAACCTATGGTTTCCATGGTTCAACAAGGATGCTAGTGACGTGGCTTGATTGACAAGATTCTCTTTGATGGCACAATGTCGGGACGATAATCCGAATAAAGCGAGCTTATCGTATATATGTCAGAATTTTTATTTGAGTATATCGATGCATGTTAAATAAAATACACAATTGTTGCTCGTAAAACTATTTTATGTATTTTCTCTCGCTTTTCTTTCTGCTTTTATTCAGCTAATTTTTTTTTAATAGTTTTAATTTTTATATTTAATTAAATGCAATTTCGTATCTGGTCCACTCTTGATGCATTAAACGCGATCTTTATATTCGATAAGTTCGGTAAAATCGGAAAATATTAGCTAAATGTGAATACATTACTTTACTTATTCTATTAAGTTACATCGATATCCAATCATATTTAAAATAATATCTTAATTTTTATTTTGTAACTGATTTCGTAATATATAATATATTGAGTAAATATAATGTAACTTCTCAAACTTTTCGATGGACTCATTCTTCGGTGAAAATCTTTTTGTTTGTATTCGTATCGCAGAGAGCAACTCTCCTTTTAGATTTGAATGTTTTATCGCGTAGAGAGCGTCATCGATTCTCGTTCTTACATGACTGCCAAAAGTGGAGAGGTGTAGCGTTGGAGCGCAGAATTTAAATCATTTCGTGCTGCATCGCGTTACGCAAATATTCCACACTTGTATCTCTACACGGAGGAGCCGGGTTTCAGCAAAGTAAATATAATTTAACTCGTATTATAAACATCACGCGCTGCGTGCCCGAGAAAAGATACCTTTGAGCTTTGGATGCTATAAATCAGATTAACAAGACAGTCTTCATTCAATAATTTTCCCATTCAAACTTTATTTTTTAGACTTTGTCTCGGCACATTGGCGTTTTGATTAATTACTTCATGAAATTATTATCTTAGTCATTTCTACTTTTCTTACAAACGTCATCCTTATCGGAAACACCCGCATCGCTTTTTTCTCGTTCTTATTATATTTATATGTTATATTATTATATTTTGATATTTGATCTTATTTTTATCATAGCATTTACTTTTAGCGCGAAGGAGGTTCAGAAAATCTGATTTTGAACAACGATTCTGATGATTAATAATAACAAACAATGAAACATTATATTGTAATACTAAATGGTAGTAGATAAATTTTTACTTGACATTGACTAACAATAAGACTAGAATATTGTCTCGTTCGTCACTGTGTATCTTACTTATCCGTCTTCTCGCGTCCCGGTCTTAACAGCGCATTGAAAAGGAAGCGACGCGCTCACCTGTAGCGACGCGTGAAATAAGTCCGACTGCGAGAGGAGGCTTAACACCAGGCGCTCTGGTCTCGCCGTAATCACCGGGCTCTAAGTAAATCCAGGTGTGTCCAGCGTAACTCTCAAAGCAAAGCTCGCCACGCGCACATGGCGAGTTATCCGGGCTAGCTAGCTAGTCAGTCAACCAGCCGGCCGGTCGACCGGCCGGTTAAGGGAGCGTCGACGCGAATGGCGAATAGTGCCCTCCGCGACGAGGGGGTCTCATCCTCCTTGTGATCGCGTCACGGCACGTCGAAGAGGGATGAACGGTGTTGGCCGTTGTGTGGTAGGGATGAACGGCGCGCTGGTCGGAGCAACCCCTCCGGTTCGGTCTCGCTCGCGCGCGGGGTGCGATACGAAAAGGAGATCGGTGGGGAGGGGGAAAGCAGGTAGAGGGATGCAAAGGGGTGACTCGCCTCGTGCGCGTCGGATGTACGTAGCCTCGCGGCAGGTCGGGAGTTCAGTCTCGACGCGGCAGCGACTACCCTCGTGTCGCGCTACACGCGTGCGACCACACGTGCGACATGATCATGGGTGAGAAACGTGCCGTGCTGTGCCCGCGCCGACGACAGGTGCCCCTTCTGGTAGTGACCACTCTCCTGGTAGGCGTACGTACGGAGCTTGTCGGTAAGTAAGCGATGCGTGCGTGACGCATTCTGCTGCATTCCAGCCATTCCATTGATGCTGAGCTCGCGATTGTCAATCGTCGTTGATCTCTGCACGGGGGATGCATGTCGTCGCGCGTGCCAGGGAATGACACCACTAACATATGCCAAAGATCGTTCGTTAATTACATCGCTCGTTAAGCGTTTATCGTCACCTGTAATTGCGAGACGGTAGTTGGAAACACTCGTTCGTGGGAACTCGAGGAAGCTTGTGCCGGTACTTGCGATACATTCACAAAATCTGTGAGGGAGTAATGTCTTTTCCGCCTTGTATTCCGCGGGTAAAGTCGCATCTGTGATGCATCGATAATACTACGATGAGATTGAAGACCATTTAACTGTGATTTCGAGCGAGTTGAGTAAACTTACTTTCTTTGAATTTTTCTTTTCTTTTACCATATCAATTGACTTTTTGACTTTTTTCTTGGATGAACTAATTACAAAGTTTAACCATCTACATATCTAAGATTAATATATGAACTTAACAATTGTTATCGAACGTAATAAAAATTAATGATGGCAAATATTCTTGAATGATTTTCGATCACCCTATCTTGAGTTTTAATTAAAAACCGATATAATCTTTTAGTTAGGGATTCTAAAATTATTCAAGAGTTTTAAAGGAAGAGGAATTATGTCACTAGGACAAGTTTGTAGCCGATGTAGATGGGGATATATATCCCATGCTTTTATCCTTTTATGCAAGTAAGATATTGATAACACTCTTTCTATAATGCGATAAAGACTTCCTTCCTCTTCATATAATATTTAAAATAGTATTCTATTATACCTGTATACCTGTATACCTGAATTAAAACGGAAGTATATGCACAGGCATCTTCATGAATGAATTAGTGAAATCAGGAGTTAACGTGGAGGTCGATAGGTTTTTACACGTTAATTGGCGGATCTAATAGAGAAGGCTGGCGTGACAGGAATTTCGATGCTCGGTTTGCGTTATGGTTTTAACGCGTTCCGATTTGTTCGCGGATTATTCGTGCGACGAATAATTCATTTCATTGCTCTCATCGCATTCGTTTTTGCCACTCTTCAGTTGTTTATGACGTTTAGGAGAGAGAACGCGGAGATTCGCGGTGAGTTGGCGTTACACTTTATTTTCGAATTATGAACGAAACTGCTATCCTGCGGTTACACATGTTGTCGTATCACACCGAATAACATATGACAACTTGTTCTCTTTAGATAGAATATTTGCATATCTACGATAAAAATCGTAATTAAATAGATAATCAATACAAGCATGCGAAAATTAGCGTTTCATCGACAGAAGTATATCACGATCAAAAATCTCGCATAATAGAAAAGCAAATCGTATAATTATAACAATAATCTAGTCATAAAACAGTAGTCTTCTTGGATTATATAGAAACGCTTAGTTTTAGCGTGTAATAACAACAATGACGTACTCTTATAAGATCATAAAATATCGATCATAAAATATCGTGTCTTAATTTATATAAAGGAAGACTCTGTAGATGCGGAACATCTTCTTCGCTCTTGCTTTATTGAAGAAATTTTTACGTGCCGATGTGTCACCGTGCAATTCTAGACTCGCTTCACAACGAGAGTATTTTTCGTCGCAGACGCGTTTATCGTCCGATTCCGTTTTATGTTGTACTTGACAGTTTCGAGCGAAACTTCCGAGATCGAAATTGTTTCATATTCGTGAAAATTACATAGACGAAGTAAGTCGTTTCGAACAAAAAGTGTGATACGCGGGGATTCATTTCTTAACGATCTTTCAGTAGTGGCGTCGTTAACTTCATTGTTGTTTCTATAACTTCGTTTATATTCTAATTCTGCGAGAGAGAATACCTTCCGGTAATTATGTTGCTAGATGTCAGTATAAAATAGTAATCTCCATTTTTGCAAAGCAATTATATACGTAATTTTTGATGTACGATGAACGGTGAATGATGTACGATGAAGAATATCCGAACAAAATGCGACTGTTTTTCATTTATTTAGTCAATTAGCATTTCTTTTAAAATCTGAGCATTGTTATTGTACTTTGGAACGTTAGCGTTATTATTAATTAAGTGGCAGTTTAAAAAAGCGGTTCGCCGTTTTATCACGAATATATATTCCAGAGGAAGAAAAGCCGTGCGAGAAAAGAATGTTTATAAATAGGAAGCTTGGAGTTTGGTCGGTAACATTATCGCGTTAATAAAGCACGCAAAATGCTTAATAGGTGTGTAAATTGGGTTGCATCTTTATGAAATTATAAAAAAGTTTGCGCGTGTAACAGGTGGTTTATAGTGGCGATTGTTTTGCTCGATATTCGTAAGACCGATCGAAGTTAGTCTGAAAAAATTCTGGCGAATGACAGTAGGATTCAATAAGATCAGTTATAGAGATTTTATTAATCGAATAAGTCGCAATAAATCTGATAGAGATAATCTGATAGAGATAATGGCGATTTGACATCATTCACGTTAGATAATTTTCAATTTCTTTTTATTAATCTTGCTGAGAATTTATATTCGTGACACAATTTGAGAGCGTTCTAGTTTATAAAGCTTTAAACACCGTCTGTGAATAATGCTTCCGTAATACTCATGATGAATTACGAGACGAATTCAACGTTTGCGAAGATTGTTGTATAGAAGAATAGAAGGTTCGTCCCTTTAAGGATAGACGATCCTTCTGTTAAATCCTCCCGCATTATTACGTCGGAGCAACCGGAATGCTTTAAAAATGTCTCAAGCGTCGGTCTGCAAGACGTGAGACCTGAGCAATCGTGTATTTCAACAACACTCGAGGTCTTTGCATTAATAACGTGAGATAGAGTAATGGATATTCGAATGGTTAATATTGTAAAGTGTAATTTATCGCGTGCGCGACATGCTTTTCAAACATGAGATACGACGCATCGTTTTCTGACCGTTTTTCAAGGAGTTATTTATGTTCGGGTCTTTCCAGAATACGTCGATGCGCACCAACACTTTTGCTAGACATTTTTGTCACGCTGGTATGTAAATCACTTGTCGTACAGTGTGTCGCGAGCATTATCGACCCACCGACGAGAAATTCAGCGATTCATGTTCCACTAATTATTGCTATCTTCGATCCGCCTCTTTGGTATGCCGACCACGCGCACGAGAGCGGAAATAGAAGGAACGCTGTAAAACCGTATCATTACGCAGTGGTTTACAAACGAATGCCAGCTTTCTGCGTGCGTTTTAAAAATAAATGCATCCATGCAACGCAGAGCGCTTTGTTATCACACTTTGGTTCGTTACTTTTCCGGACAACTCGCTAAACCATAATTTTGTAGTTCTCAGTGGGAAAACGTCTGACAGTCTGTCGTCAAATTTAACCGTTTGTACAAGCGTTTTGCACATTTGCGTTTGCAAAGGGGGAGAACTGAAAAACCAGAGACGTAGTATTTAAATAGCATGTGTTTACAGTACTTAGAAGCTATTATCGCAGAAAATTACAGTAACACGACAAATCAATACGCTTGTAAATAGATATAGTTTGAGGATTTTAACTTGGAAATAGAAATAATTATTAATTTCTTATGTGGTGTTATAAAGTATATTTGACACAATTTATTTTTATGATATGAACGTATTTCTAGCGTTTTATATTTTTTCAGATTTTTTGCATAATATTTTTTATTTATAGAAGTCAAAAATCTACATTTAACTTAACTAAATGAAATTGTAGAGATTTTTTGCAATCTCTATTGATGCCTTGTTTTATTGATGCTTAAGTATTTTTAATGCTTAAGTGAGATATAATCATTCTTTTTGAAGGTTAATTAGTTTCGAAAATCTTAATAAGAAAAATATTGAAATCGAGATAATTTTCGATTTACAAACGATCGAAATATAATTTACACACACGCATAAATTTATTATTCGTTATCGATAGCTTAACTGATTTTTTATTTTTTAAATGTTATACATATAAATGTCGTAACAATTAATTAATATCGGTAAGTTGATAATTGATAGCAAATTTTAATTGTTACGAATTATTTAATCTTTTATGCAAATAATTTAATCTCTTTTAAAATTAAAACTAAATAGATTTAAATAATTCATCAACTATACACATGAAATGAATTATTAAATTTTATATTTAAATTTGAATACAATTTTTTTATTTATATGATCGAATAATGATAAAATAAAATATAATAAAAATTGATTATTATTATCTTTTCCAAATTTTTATGCCCCATTCTATGAGAACAAAATTGTGTGATTTTAAAAAATCATGAAAATGAGCCGTTATAGTTTTTGCGATTTTCTTTTCATTTTTTTAATTCATTAAAATCACAAAGAAAATTCTTGATTTATTAAAATCAAACACAATTTTATTCGTTTTTCAGAATGTAAAATTTTAATACAATGTAATAATAATCAAATTTTAATTTATGTAAATATTGTTTTGATTAAAGTAATAAAAAATTTAAATAAATAAAAGAGTTTAAATAAAAGAGTACATACATAGAGAGAGGAGGGAGAGAGAGAGAGAGAGAGAGAGAGAGAGAGAGAGAGAGAGAGAGAGAGAGAGAGAGAGAGAGAGAGAGAGAGAGAGAGAGAGAGAGAGAGAGAGAGAGAGAGAGTAGAGAGAGTAGTAGTAG